TAGATTTATATAGTGGTATTTCGCTTGCACTTAAAGTTATTAAAAATTTAAAAAGAAAGTAAAACCCGTTCGTGTGATTCCAGTACCGAAAAGTGGAGGTTTTCTTCCCTTAATCCCCATTTTTGCAGGCCTCTCAGCGTTAGGAGCCGTTACAGGCGGTGTAGCAGGGGTGGCAAAAGTGATAAATGGGGCACGTGCAGCTAAACAACAATTAGAAGAATCACAAAGACACAACAGAACCATGTAAGCCGTAGCCATGGGAAAAGGACTCTATCTTAAACCTCATAAAAATGGAATGGGTCTTTTTTTAGGAAAAACTTTAATAAAAATATGCCTAAACGTCCTTTAACTAATATTGATATAAAATATTTTGCTACTAGTACTAAAATTCCATACTTCCGCAATGTATACATGAGAAGTCAGCTACCAAAGAAAATACGAAAGAATGAAGGTGGTGTTATAAACTTAGATGATGACACAGTTTCTGGAACTCACTGGACAGCATACAAAAAATTTGGAAAAACAGTTATTTATTTTGATAGTTTTGGTAACCTTCGTCCTCCTCTGGAAGTAAGAGATTACTTTTTATCAAATGGACCTTGTAAAGTACTATATACTCATGATAGATATCAATCATTTAATAGTTATAATTGTGGTCAGTTATGTTTGTCATTTCTTTGTCAATAAAAATAATAATTATACCCATGTGTTTTCATTTGAGTGAAAGTCGTCACGATGTCATACACTTTCACTGTTTCGGCGAGAAGTTCTATCCTTTCAGTTAAAATCAATCCTCCTATAACGTTAAGTAATCAAAATGAATATGTGTTAGGTCTTATTGATTTCGTAAGTTATAATTCCATTCCGAATGTTGATGAAACTAATAACAAATTTTATTTTGGTAATTTTTTTATTTGGTAAAGTGGAAGATATTGAAAAATATTTAAAAGAACGCATTGAATGGCTTGAAAGAAATAATCCACCAACCGATAAAACCATTTTAACTTTAGTGGCAAATAGAAATACGCTACGAAGTGAATTAAAATGTAACAGGCTGTGGATTTCAAAAAACCTAATAACATTGGCTCTCTTCTCGGTTTTAAGCCACTCTTACATACAAAGCCAGACAAACATATTTCAGAGTATCCTGTAAATATTACAAAAGTAAATTCTATAGGAATTGAGTGTAATTTAGTTACAAATACTTATAATAATGAAAAGAGTACTCATATGATCCATATGTTTTTTCATAAAGTTCCACCTGGACACCGAATTGTGGAAATTCCAACTAACGTCATTTATTTACCAATAAATACAAGTCATATTGAAGAAATTAACCTTAAAATAGTTGACCAAGATGGAAATCTGATCAATTTTAATGGTGAGGTGGTAACGATAAGACTACATTTAAAAAAGATTTAACAAAAAAAAAACATGGTTGTGTTATATAATATACATCCTATTGAGTGTAACAATATAAAAGAAAGAAAAATATTAGATCCTATTAGTGTAAAGACAACGTACAAAGCATTAACACAGAAAAATATTTTATTTTTAGTATCCTTAAGTATAGTTTCCACCAGAGGAACATGAAGGAACTTTTGTGTTTCTGTTGCTTGTTGCTTAAAAATGTTTCGCAAAGTTCCTAAGTGTTTCTTCTTGTTTCGACAACAAATGTTGCATGTTTGCGATTGTTGGTGGTTTCCAGTTTTAGCGGTAAACTTCAAAAGAAATACGGCAACAACAGGCAACATAAACATATTGTTGTCTGAGTGGAAACAGATACAGCAACTTGTAGTGACTTGTTTTTGTCTAGTGCAGCTCGACGGCGAACGTGGAATAATTTATAGTCGGTCGGACGTGTGAAAAAATAGAAAAATGCCGTTCATGTGGACAAATGAGTTAGTACTCGAATTAATCGAAAACTATAAGCTTTGTGAGTGTTTATGGAATACAAAGCACGCCCAGTATAAATGTAGAAATGCGAAACACGATGCTTGGACAACATTGGCAGAAAAAACAGGCTCAAATATAGAAGAAGTGAAAAGAAAAATGAAAAATGTTATTGCACAATTCTATAGAGAAAGAAAAAAATATCGTACGTTAAAAAAGTCGGGAGCCGGCGCCGTATTTATTTCAAAATGGTTTGCTTATGAAGTCTTGTTGTTTCTTGCGGGCAGGAACAAAGTTAGAAAATGTACTGAAAAAAGAATAACTACAAGTGAGGTACGTATTTTTTTTGTTTTATTTGTAATTTTTATACAAAGTTAAAAATTATTTTGCCATGGAACCATTCCTTCGGGTGACATAAAATATTGAGCAAATTCATCTCGAACTTGTTTAGCTTCCAACGTTGAATTACGTGCTTGTTTTTGCAGTGATGCAAACATATTGTTCTTTATTTCGTTTCTCCAAGAACCTGGCATCCTTTCGCCCGTATCTTTGTCTTCTGAATCAAAGGTGCCAGGAGGTGAGTATGACTTTCGGGAATGTAAACTGCTTCTCAGAAAATTATGGAGATATACACATGCAGCAACAACTAATTCCACTCTGTCGGGTTCAAGTAGCATGGGTTTTCTTAATACCCTGAACCTAGCAGACATGATTACAAAAACGTTCTCAGAAATACGCCTAGCGCGTGACAAGCGGTAATTAAAAATTCGTTTTGAGGAATCTTTCTCTTGAGTGCCAGGGTAAGGTTTCAATAAGTTTGGTGATAGGGGAAAAGCGTCATCTCCTAAAAAACAAACGGAACAGCTTTTGTTCTTCCTGGCAATGGTTCTAATTCAGGCAAATTGAGCGTGTTTTGATATAACATTTTTTTGAAATGAGTACTGTCAAACACTCCACCGTCGGATATACGACCTTGGCTGCCCACATTAAGATACATCACCTCATAATTTGCGTTGGCCACAATAAATAACACTACACTGAAGAAGGACTTATAATTATAAAATTCACTGCCACTATGTTTTGGTGCTTGTATCATAAATGTGCCATCCATAACCCCGGCACATTTAGGAAAATTCCAAAGATTAGCGAATTGATGTCCCGTAATAAGCCACTCCTCTCTACTCTGAGGCATCTGAAAAATTAAAAACCGGTAAATTTGTTTAATCAAAACTTCTCTCGCTTTAAATATAATTTGTATTTTATATTAAAAGAGTAAGAAGTAAAAATATATTTTTAATTTTCAGGGTGAAGATGATGGGTCAGACAGCAGTGCAACGGACAGGGGGGAAGTTGAATCGCAAGATTCCAATATAGCAGACGAGGCAGATGCAGTAACTGATTCTTCTTTTATTGTTGGAGAGGCGAACAATGACGTCGACACTCTGTACAAAACTGTTGCTGCTATTACTGAAACACCTACAAAGCCTAATGAAAACAGAACCAGATCTCCAACGCCTTCCACAAGCAGCACTACAAAAAGTAAACAGGGACCTAGGCTCTTTAAAAGTCCAAAAACAATGAAGAAAAGACAAGCTGATGTGAAAACTGACGAACGACAGGAAAAGGCATATGTATTGCTGAAGCAGCTACAAAATAAAAAGCCACGTAATGGGTTCCAAATTTTCGGCGAACTAGTTGCTTGCAAAATCGAAAATCTTCAAAATGAAAACGCTAAAAACACGGTAGAGCATTTGATCTCTAATATTTTGTATGACGCATCTATAGGTAAATACGATCAGCCATTTCCATGTTATCAAAGTTGGCATACACCTTCGGCTAATAACAACACAGCAAGATATTATTCAGATAACCAGAACTATTACTCATCCAGTACCAATGATTCTGTAACTTCACCAGCCTCAACAACACACACACCTATGCCATCCCCAAATAGCTCTTGTTATGAAACTAACTATCTTCCCCAAACAGAGACAAACAATTCGACACTCTCAAAAGAAAAGCAGCCTTGTAGAAATCTTCAAGAATCATCTATATCTGATGCGATACGTCTGGCCATGTCAGATGCAGGACTTGATGTAAATTACTGATAAAATATTATTTGTTAAAAAGAATATCTCTTTAATTTTTTAATTAGATTTTTTAAATTTTTTATTTAGAATTTAAATAGAATATCTTGATAATTTTTTTCTCACACTTCAAAAAATTGGTTTTTATTAAAATTTAATAAAATGTCTACTACTATTACATTATGTCATTTGATTGAAAAGCTGTATATCTACCGAGGTATCTACTTACCTTAAGTTTATCCTTCAGAACTTCAGCGATTATTTTACATACTTCTGGTATAATTCTACTAATTGATGATACCACAATTTTGAACAAGTACATCAAGGAATGGTAAGAATCGCCTGTTGCAAGGAATCGCAGTGTGAGCAGTAGTAGTTCCATTGGTGAAATGGCTTGTCTATAATTTGTATCTTCTTTCTGTATTTTGGGGGCAATTTGACATAATAACCATTCAAAATCGGTGCTGGACATTCGTAAAAAATTTTTGACACTACCATTATTTTTATTATTTCCTATGTATACATCGTCTTTTTTTAATACATTGAGTAGATGCATGCCACCATATTCACTTCTATCACAGAGACTTGGTTTCACCCAACATTTGTGCTTTCTTTTTTTCTTTTTTGCCGACAACACTATATAGGCCGCCGCTGCTGCAGCTATTTCATCATCTTGATCCATGTTTACCAACCGCGGTGGAAACACTAAGTTGCTCTCTCTCTCAGTTATCAGAAACGACCGGAAACAAAAAGTTCTGTCAGTGGAAATAAAAAGTTTACATATGTTGCTAATAAGTTCCTAAATTTACAAACAAGAAGAAACACAGGCAACAAAAATGTTGCTACATGTTGCAATTTTTTAGGATTAAAAGTTAAAAATTACTAAACACCAAAATAGGACAACAAAGAAAAAAGAAGAAGAAGAAGCAAAGATTTGTGTGCCGCTGTAAATTATTTGCTGTTGTCAAAGAATTTTTTTAAAGTGTTTTTGTAGGTGTAAAGTTACATATAGAAAAAAAAATGAATGGTAGTATACTTAATGTTAATAAAACTGTACCTGTAGATGAATCTATAATTAGTTCGGAATATCATACTCATCTTCCTTATTCAGCTACGTCTTTAGATAATAATGATGAGATTAGAGTACCAATTCAATCACAGAATATTTATACATATCCTAGTAAGAGTTATATAATTTTAGAGGGAAATTTGATATCACAAGAAAAGAATCACTACAGTCCAAAACTCAGTTTTATTAATAATGGACCTCTTCATTTATTTGAAGAATGTAGATATGAACTTGGTGGAACAATAATTGTTCGTTCTAGATTTCCTGGAATTACATCAACATTAAAAGGATATGCATCATTTACTCCCAATGATTGTATTAAAAATGCTAATTCTGGTTGGTGCATAACAGAGCATCCTAAAATTATTGAACAATCAACAGGTTATTTTAACATTTGTATACCACTGAAACAAATTTTGGGATTTGCTTATATGATAATAATTTAAAAAAATATTATTAATGTGCAACAGGAACTCGTATTAGTTCGCAGTCATACTGATTTGAATTAGGCTTGGGCATAATAGTTCATCATAAAGAGCGCTCAGTTTAGTTCAAATGTGAGAAGTGAACTAGGTCGCTCTTTTAGTTCACTAGTTCATTAACTCAAAGAGTTACTAAGCATGAGAGATTTATTTACACATGAGCAAAATGTAAGATTATTTTATCTTTTGTACATAAGTTTATTTTTGATAACACCCTCACGGTAAAGTAAACTAAATCATCTATATAATAAAAATAAAACGCACCATAAACTTGAAATTATAATCTCAACTAAATGATTTCTCAGCAGTTTCAGCGCTCACCCACTTCTACTAATCGTCCACATGTCCACATATTAGTTCCTAGATGGTTAGTTCTTTTCATGTTCTTCCTTTCTACCCGCTACCCGCTCAGCCTCCCATCTCACTTATTTCGTTCGTCGCGTCTGAACTCGGAAGATTTGAACTGAACTGCTCCTGACCGATGAACAAACGAAACGCGAAGCTTCGACTCCGAGAAATAAACGGCTCAGCAGAGCGAGTGAACGGTTTAAGCCAGCTCTGACGAACTAGTTCATTTAGTTCAGGGTTTGGAGTCGGATCTTTGAACTAGTTCGCTCATGAACTACACAAGCCTAATTTGAATACAGCTATAACCACAGATGGTGCTGCTGATACTCCAAAAATTAAGCTCACAAAAATTGGTGTTATTACAACACTTGGAAATGCAAAATAATTTGGAAATTTCATTCAGAAATTGGTCTTTACAAAAATTACCAGTTCTACCAAAAACAAAATCTTACGATTGGACCATCATGACAGTTAAACAAAGTGAAGTACCACGATACATGATTATAGGTTTCCAGACAGATAGGGAGAACAGTAAAACTCGAGATAATAGTGATTTTGATCATTGTAATTTGACTAATTTAAAAGTGTATTTAAATTCTGAGGTGTATCCATATGACAATTTAAATATTGATTTTAAAAAGAAACACTACGCTATTATTTATGAAATGTATACAAGGTTGCAAGAATCTTATTATTTTCAAGGTAAAAGCGAACCGTGCTTGACCCCTACCAATTTCATACAAAAAGCGCCGATATTCGTTATAGATTGTAGTCACCAAAACGAAGCAGTAAAAGGTGGAGCGATAGATGTTCGACTAGAACTAGAAGCATCAGAAAATTTTCCAGGCAACACTTCAGTATACTGTTTAATAATTCATGATCGCACGGTTATCTACAATCCATTATCAAATTTAGTGAAAGTGCAATGATGTTCATCGTAGATATCCAAGGTTTCCAATATAAAGATAGTGAGTTCTTTATTAAGGAAATAGGTATATTTAATTTATATATACTTCATCTAATTTAGATAACGACTTACGTCATTATCTACGTCAGAGATCGAAGTTGACATAGTTGCCAAAGTATAAAAAAATCCTGATTCACATTTTAAATCAAATAGATTACATAATTACCATCACTTTACAACGACTATTTAAATTCTTACGTGACATTTTTTAAATAAAACACACTAATTTTGTTCTAAAAAGAACAGATTTTATTAACTAGTTCAAAATATAAAACAAGAGATATTCACTTTAAAATTCAAAATAATGAAGTACAAAAAGTGTCAACACCGCAACTGTCAAATAAGTGGTACCAATTTATGCCAAAATTTTACCTTCGTTCGATTACAGTTACAGTGTGTTCCGAACAAATGTTCTTGATAAAAACGCCTTATAATGCATTTATACAAATTAAATGAGACATATTATTGTGTATTTCTTTAAGTTAACATTAATAGAAATTTTTAAATATTATTTCTACGTGTATATAATAAAATATGTCTAGTGGCTGTAATGCCAGTGTACTCGGTAAAGTGATTCTAAAAAAGAACACAACTACACCCTAAATATTTTGTGTTGGTATCATGTGCCGTCACAGGCTATAACGCCGATGACGTGCATCGTTATATAAATTAGATGAAGTGTACACGTGCTTGGTATCATACATTTGTCAATTATCCAGTGAGTTTGGATTGGTTTGCAGAAAAACATAAACATCATCTTCAATGGACAACTGACAATATACATTGAATAAATTGGAATATTTCTCATCCGAATAATATCTCTATAGAAACTATAAGTGAGTATATAAAAAATATTGGAACCAACACAATTGTAGTCAAAGGAAGCCAGAAAAGAAGACACTCCAAAAATTTTTGTGTAATAAAATTATAGATATAGAAGCTACAATGAGCTGTCCAAGTTAAGTGTTTTAAGGCAGAATTCATGTAATATGTAATAAAATATTCATTGTAATTTACATACTAATAATAACTTAAGTGTTGTTCTCTAGAAATTGTAAATTTAATACATGACTGGTTATTGAAACAATTTATTACTAATATTGAAAATGTTACTTGTGATAATTAAAAAAATTTACTCATATTTTGCAAATATTCTTTATTATACCAATATACCCATATACCCATATATCCCATATAACAAATATACATATATAAATATATATAATATAACTGCAATTATTAGTCATCATATAATGTCTCGTCTGAATCATAATCAGATTCTTCTGGTTCGACTGGTAAGTTGAATTTTTTTATAAACTCATTAATTAACAGATCAGGAAGTAGATGAGAAGAACATTGAAGTATTCTTCATACATCATTTTGACTTAACGATCTTTGAGATCTACATACTGCTAGAACTTTTCTAAAAGTAAGACACACTATGTGTATTTTTAAGTAAGCCACTTATGCTACGTACAATTGCCAATTGTTGTGTCTCAGGAGTATTTACCATTTTACACTGACTGGAATGGTTTCGTTGCAATATAAATTTAGAGTGTCTAAATGAATTCGTATGGAGAGTGTGCAAAAACAAAAATAAAATTTGCAGTCTGGACACAAGATTGTGTCCTCTAAAAAAAAAACAAAAAAATCAGAATTAATTGCAGCTATATTATACCTATATCTATATGAAAAGCAATTACAAAGGTCTGGTTGGTGTGCCATCATTTATTGCTATTATATCATCATCATCATCAACAATGTCTTCATCATAGTCATCTGCCTGTTGTTGTTGTTGTTGTTGTGGTGTGTCAAACCGCCAAACTTGTGAGTTGTCATCAAATTGAGTTTCAATTTGTAGGTTATTAGACCCAGCAGGTTGTGTTACTTTTCTTTTTATTTGTTGTTGTTGTTGTGTGTCAAACCGCCAAACTTGTGAGTTTTCATCAAATGGAGCTTCAATTTGTAAATTATTAGACCCAGCAGGTTGTGTTACTTTTCTTTTTTTATTTTTCTTTAAAGGTTCCAGAGGGAGAGGAGCAGGACATGCTTCCTCTTCCTCTAAATTAAAATAATATCGTTTCATTGCTTTTTCAAATAAAGCAATTTTAACATTATCTGACAGCTGCATGCGAACAAACTTTATTGGTAAATTACCAAATTTCCGTAATTAAGTAGTTGATTTCGGTGTATACGATAATTCAATTAAAATTCTTTTAGATCTGACAGATATATTTTTTAAACCATATCTAAAAGAGAATACAAAAATCTATTACAAAAATAAATAAAATAAAGCAAAAAAACTTACTTGAACAACTGCCTCATGACAACTAGTGCCATTTTCATAGGAAAATTTAATTTATCTTCAATTGTTAAAAATATCGTACATGGAACAGTTGACATTTTTTATGTAATGATAAAAATAATAACAATAAATAAGAGCACACCAACAAATTTACTCACTTATGATATTTTAGTTATTCTTCTCGTTATGATATTAGTTTTACAGGACAACCTATATATATATACCACAAAAATTGATTACGTACATGTAAACATTTTAATTAGATACACTTTACCTACACATTAGAAAAACCACAATTACCTACAATTATCATAATGATATACTTATTGGCTTATTGGAAAACAAATTAATTTTTATTGTTATCTATAATAACCCATAAAAATGCTTTTACCTGAATAATCGCATATATTACGTACATACATGTAATTGGAAAAACAAATCAATTATATATTGCAACATTGTTGCTCTGAATAATAACTAAACTAATTGTTTTGTTTTTATCGTTATCTCTAATAACCATAAAATGTTTTTACCCGAATAATTGCATTTATTACGTACATGCATGTAATTATTTTTTTAATTAGATACACTTATTAGAACATGTAATTGGAAAAACAAATCAATTATATATTGCAACATTGTTGCTCTGAATAATAATTAAACTAATTGCTTTGTTTTTATCGTTATCTCTAATAACCATAAAATGTTTTTACCCGAATAATTGCATTTATTACGTACATGCATGTAATTATTTTTTTAATTAGATACACTTATTAGAAAAACAAAATTACTTACAATTATCATAGTCATATGTCAATTATCATCACATTGTTGCTATCTAATAGCCGCAAACTGTTTTTACCTGAATAATTAAACTAATCGTTTTTGTCGTTATCTAATAACCATAAAATGTTTTTCCTTGAATAATTAGGAATAAATGTTTTGTTACATTGTTGCAGAGTTTTAGCAAAATGTTGTTGATAAAATATGTGTTCACGTACTATGATTCATTTACAATCGATAGTCATAGAATAGCACAAGTGTGTTAACCATTCCAAAAATAATAACAAGAATCTACAATGTCATCATCAAGTTTGGATCAGTTTGTTTTGGATATGGTGAAGAAAGTGGAAAAAGTTGTGATGCTGTTACGAACAATTGAGGAGTTTAACAAATGGATCAGATTTATCAAAATAAGTATAAATTTAGTTAAGAAAGCAATTAAAAATAAATCTCATCATATTAAACATCGTAATAGAATTGAAACGGGTTTAGGTATTTTAAATTATCACAAACAAAATTTGAAATATCAAAAATTATTAAAACAAAGGGAACAGTCAAAAAATAATAATACTAATAATAATTTAATATGGCGTGATTTAGAGTCAAGTTTTAATAATAGAATCAAAACTGGTGTAATTATTAATTTAAATTTTAAAGATCCTAAAATATTTTTGAAAAAAGCATTTAGAAGTTTTTCTCTAAAAATTAAAGAGGCACTAAAACAATCACTTTTAAAAGTCAATACCATATTTTTAGCAAATTTTATTAAACCACATAATTTAGAAACTGATATTAAACATTTTGCAACAAAAAACGAAATAATTGACCATACTACTAATTTAAAAGAGTGGTATGAGGAACATGTCATTAATAAAATATCAAAAATTGAAGATTTTCAAGAGAGATTCAGGATTTGCATTGTATGAAATTTTGAATTTAAAAGTAAATATAAATCAGTACATACCCATAGCAGTAGGTTGTTCTAGTTACATAGAATTACCTGAATTTATTAAAAATAAAAAATGTATTAATATTCAAAGCAATGATAATTACTGTTTCCTTTGGTGTGTTGTGGCATATTTGTTTCCTGTACAATCAAATACAAATTCTAGTAGAATATCCTCATATCCTCATTTTACAAATGTTCTAAAATATGATAACATTAATTTCCCAATGAGATTAAAAGACATAACAAAATTTGAAAAATTAAATGAGATATCTATCAATGTTTTTGGTATTTTTGAACACAACAGCATAGCACCAGTCTGTTTAAGTAAATTTAACTTTCCACAACGTGTAAATTTACTAATACTTTCTTATACAAATGAAAATATTGAGAATGAGAATCAAAATTATAATATTAATTTTGAAGATATTTGTATTGATCACTATCGGATTTACCATTACGTCCTTATAAAAAATTTATCAAAATTAGTTTTTAAACAATTAAATAATAGTATTACTAAAAAGTGGATATGTGATCGATGTTTAAATTATTTTTCATATGAAATCCTTCTTCAACAACATTGGGAGGATTGTTTTAAAATGAATAATACTAAAATGATAATTCCCAATTGGAATAAGAGAACCTTGAAATTTTCTAATTTTAAGAATAAACTTAAAGTTTCCTTTGTTATTTATGCAGATATAGAATGTCTTTTATTAAGTAGTGTAGCTTTTCTACTAAAATGTTCATATGATGATTCTTTAACACAATTTAAAGTTTATACAGGAGAGGACTGTATATCCTGGTTTGTTAGAGAATTACGTTTAATTAGTACAAAACTGGATGACATCTATTCAAACATTGTTCCAATGAAACCTTTAACAAATCTAGAAGAAAATCAATTTTTAAATGCTGAATTATGTTATAT